ATATAAAATTAGACTTTCCACATTTGATATGTGAGAGACCCCCATCCATTCTCGTCACCATTATTATTTTCAGTATATTTTACAATAGGGCTTGAGCAAAGCCATATGATAACCTGAAAGATGCTTTCAGATGTCAGTCAAGTCTGTCTGTCTCTCGCCATAAAAAGTCGGTTAACATAAAAAAACAGGGGCAAGTGTTAGGAATGGGCAGAGACAGCAGTGGGGAGAGCTCTGGGCTCGGCCTGCACAACCGTGGAAGCACGGCCGAGCCTCGCACCGACGTCCGTGCAGTCTGAGAGCTCCCAGGGCGCCCCGTGTTGGCGGTCCGCTCCGAACGCGACAACACGCCGGGGGTGGGGTGGTCACGGTGAAGCTATTGACAGCATTAGAACTAAATGAACCTGGGTGTGAGGAATATTCATTATACAGCTGAGGTCTCCAGTCTAACATTATTCAGACAAGGTCAAATGAGCGAAAACTGCGAATATATAAATATTCATGGTTACATACACACACACACTTATATATATATATTTTGCAACTGTATGTGTATATATTTAATCATGAGCATGTGTGGGATGGTTTGGACTGGAGGGAAACTCGCCCTAAAACACAACTTCACGTGGTAACTTGTGTTATTTCTGTCACCTTGAAGAGGTCGGACTACACGACCTCCACTGGTATTTATATGCGTTTCCTGTACGAAGAGCCAAAACAACACGTTAGAGCCACTTTGCGGCCTCCAACACCAACGTTGTGGTCTGTATCCAGTATCTCTCAGAGATAAGGGTGAAACGTCTGGTTTTAAAACCATTAGCACCACTTTGAACTGACCTCTGTAGGACTGAAGTCCTCGAGAACGTTCCAAGTCAGTCTAAGGGATTGGAAATAGAGGAAAGCCTGTAATGTCTCATCTGCTAGCTTTTGGTAGACATTAGTTTATAGTAACAAAACGACAGAAATATCAGAAGTACGTGCAGCTTCAGGGTCTGATCTCCCCTCCCAACTCATGGGATAAAAACAGTTTGGCCACTGCCTAGCACTTGCCTCAAGATTCAAGTTTAAATGGATACGGTAGTACACTACAAACGTCAACACGTTCCAGGTTGACATGTTTTTTTAATTTTTTTTTTTTAAACTTTTAGTATTTTTTTTTCTTAAACTGAGACCCCTCCCCTCTCCCCGAATGGAGAATCTAATCTACTAAGATGTGTAACATTCATCAGCTGTAAACTGCTGTCAGTTAGAGATTAAATGAATTTACAGTAACAGAGCCATGCTACCTTAAAGTCTGAGCTACACGATCGCAAAAACAGATCTGATGCGCCGTGCGAGGGGAAGTGAATCATTTCAAGCTTTGTTTTTCCTTCTTTTGATAATTAAAATGGCCAGGAGTCCAATCTATTTATTGTGCAGTTCTGCAAGTGAACATAAAGGAGTTTTGTTTAAAAATATGCCAGATTATGACGGGATTAATGCAGGAAAATGATTATTGAGTCAAGTATTTTAGATGTTTTAATCAGCAAATGTTCTCACGCAAATGTAAAGAGGAACATGGTGTTTATGTTGCTGAATATATATTTAACAATTACATTAAACATTAATCTCATTTAAAGTGATAGTTCAGATCTTCTGAAGTGTTGCTCCCTTCTTAAAACAGCTCCAATCTCAAAAGTTTCATAGCAGTGAACGCAAATTTCAATTCAGAAATCTTCATATTGTTCTAAATTTTGCGTTAGTTATTCACTCTGTGGTTATTTGTGTGTGTGAACAGAAGCAGGTAGCTGTAGCACTTCCTGCTGAAATAACCACGTAATGCAAAACTGTGTGAAGGTTCATACGATAATGTGCACGTGACGTTTTAAAGACTGGAGTCGTTTTAAATTGGTAGAAATCTCCTTTGGTCTCAGCCCTGCACAGATTAGCCATCAATCAATCAATCAGAAATCAACTTTTGTTTTTTATTTCTTAAAGTTGTGGTTATAAAGTATTTGTTCCAAACTTTCCCACAGAACCCCACCTGAACACATCATTTTAAAGTGTTGTGTGGACATTTAGGTTACCTCATATTTGCATCTTATTATTTAAAATAATGTCCTCGTGTTATTTAAATGAGCCTTTTATCATCATAAATGGAGTCAGACATACTAAAGTCTGCATAAAAAACGGTGAATCCATTAATGTTTATTTATTAATAATGTGATAGATCAGCAATAAATAAATATTTACCACCAGTGAAGCAAACTAAAATAAATGAAATAAATTAAGTTAAGGTGTAATCACACTGAAAAGGCTAAACTGAAACATCTGGTTTCAGCAGCTTGTTTGATCCAACGTTTAAAATTTACGACTATAATTTAAAGCAGAAGAATTCAGCTTTTAATATCTTGTCAAATAAGTTTAAACATTTAAGAAACAACTAATTACGTGTGCTTTTTGTACAGTTTGAACACAAGTGTTTAAACAAAATAAATAAATAAATTAAAAAACACTCCCGAACTGTTAAGTTCGTGGTCAAATGTGTCTTTTTCAAACTTCTGGAAATAAAAAAAAATATATTCTTAAACTAGGCTTTTGGGTCCCCCCTCCCTAAAACACACAAATATCAACAAATACCAGAGTGTTTAAACATCTCTGTTGCTGAGTTCTTGATATAAAAAAAGAAAGATTTTTTTTGAACGTATGATGATTTTAGCTTGCACCCCTCTTGCACAATAACCTGCGTATCTAGCGTTAGGATTTAAGGTAGTATGGCACACCCCCTTCAGAAACATTCAAGGGTGGGGATCCAAATAATGCCTTGTGTACAACTCCATTTTACAATTCCTCCATTGTTCATCCATGAGAGCTTTGGTTAGCTGAAACCATGTTAGAGTGGCAAAAACCAAACCAAGAAAAAACAAAAGAAATCAAACCTACAGGGAATAAATTACAACGAACCTCAAACAAACAAACTGAAATCATCTGCAAATATGATGATCATTGAGAGAAAGCTCTATCTTGACTGGTCCTAACTCCACTATTCACTACAAGTATTATATAAATGAGTCCTATATAACATCTACTTTGTAATTACAGGAGATAGAAAAAGAGCGTGGGGGCGTGGGGAGGTGGGTGGGGGGATAAATATGAGAGAAAGGAGAGGAAGAGCGAGGGAGAACAACAAAGCACTACACTGGTATCAAAGACAGCACTCTGTTTACAAGTTAACTGGGATTTCTTTACACACTAATGAAATACATGAATGAGCAACGAAAGAGAGCGTCTTTTCTGAGGGCGTTGGGGCCGTGGGGGGTGGAAAGAGAAAAACGTAATGGATGCACAGTACATTTTAATAGTATAATACAATTATTAATATATAAACCACAAAGTATCAATAAAACTCTGATTAAACTTGAATTCAGCAAAGAAGCATTTTTCTGTCTTTTTTTTTTTTTTTTACTTTTCTTTCATGTTTTTTTTTTTTTTACATTTGAACGTTACAAGGATTTTTTTTCTTCTTCTTTAAATTATTACTTGATCACACCTCCATTTCTTTTACTTCTATCCAGCATATTCATTACATGGTTGTTTCCAAATGAAACAAAACGAGACAGGAAGTGCATTAAAGAGGAAATAACAGACACACCTGCAGCGGCACCGACGACTTTAACAATTATTATTATTATTAGCAATAAGTCGCATTCTGCGTAACGCCTGCTGCAGCGGCAGGTTGCGAACAATTCAGTGTCTTCTCCGACCCTGTATAAATCTCCTCGGATGAGGGGAAAGGGTCGAACACACGCGACACGTCCGGTACCGGTTCTGTGAATGCACCTCGTCCAGTCGAGGAAACTCTGACCCCTGAATCCTTCATGCTGTCCTAAAGCGCAGGGCCGCTCATTATTTATTTGAAAAAAGCCAACATACACATGTGCAAATAGAAGGATGGCCTGTACTTTAAAACTCACAGTGCAACGATTGCTCGCCTGTTGTCACCTCTCAGTGTTTGTTTCACCGCCAGAATAAATTAGAACCCGCCGGCGACGCACGAAGGCTGAGGTATGGTATCAAAACGGTTACGTTCCTACGTCTTTCTTAAAAAGAACTGATTGGAGGAGCAGAGCATATAAAGGCTCGAGCACGGAGCGCAGGCTGTCGTGTTCCGCGGAGCGAGTCGGGAACAAGCGGGATGAAACGAACGCTACGGCTAACGGCTTCCTCTCAGGAGTACAAAAGAGTCAGGATGCACAGAACGCTGCAAAAAGCCCGCTCCGAGTTCTTCACGTCTACATACAGTGTGCTTTGGATTAAATGTTCTTTTCCCTTTCAAATTATTTCTCTTAGCAAAATGATCCAAATCAGACTCTCGCTCTCTTTTGTTTTTGTTTTCTTTAAATGATTATTGTTTCTCAAAACTGTGTTGATTCAACTTACCGCTCCGAAATTTGCTGGTATGACACGTCAGTATTTACAGAGCAAGTGCGTTCAGTTTTGTTTGTGTTACATCGTCTTCCAGCAGACAAAAAGAAAAAGAAAACAACTAAAACAAACAAACAAAAAAACAGATTTAGAATATTGTTTACAGCTTTTTTTCTTCTATTCACACACTAAAACATGTTTCTTTTGACACACCATCACAAAAATATGCTATTCTCTCACCGAGTTGGTTATATGCAGTGACTGGAATAATATGTACAGCTACATCGTCTTTTTCTCAAGTTTCAATTCACAATGTCGTTATATGAAATTTGTTATAGCATATATATATATATTTATATATATATTTATATATATTTATATTTCTAAACAACAGAAACAACATTTATAAAAAAGGACCATAAAAATATTGGAGTCCTCATCGTATTGCCCAAAAATAGGTAATTATGGTTTAAAACGAGACATCACAAGAAATAAAACGGCTACTAAAATTTATTACTTAGATACCTTCGTTCAATTTTCTTTTCTTTTCTTCAAATCTTCAAGCTACTATTTCTTTTTTCTTTCTTCTTTTTTATTTATTTTTTGCAGAAAGACTGACTGGAAACATCCCAATCTTTTTTTTTTCTTCCTTTAAAATGCGAAGGTGAAGACATGACTTGCAGACTTTCTTGGCTGTGACCCGCCGTGTAACTTCGTACAAAAATCCATTAACGCTACTAGAAAATAAAAATGACAGGAAAGAAAAAAGAGGCTAAAATGAAAAAAAGCATTCTAAAACCTAATCAGAAGAAAAGAGCTGGGAGAGGAAGGAAATGGATGCGTGACGTAACGTGACGTGAAACATTGTGACCAAACCAGGCTGCAGTTATAAGGAGGTTTGGAGTATTGTACAGCAGTCGTTTCTTTTTCTGAGATGACAAACGTTTTTTTTTCTTCATATGGTTCCGACTTGCACTCGTTAAGCCATCGGTGACACTGTAGTGCTTGAAGTTGGATTATGGTCACCTGCACACAAAGCCAATTAGAAACTTCGTCCTGTCAGTCCCGGACCGCCAGATATACTCTGCTGGACAGCAAAGACAAGAAAAGGAACACATAACAGCAGCGTTAGAAATTTTACAACTCAGAAAACATCGTCAGTTGTGGCTTTCATTGATAACAGTTGTAAGACTTCCTAATTTTTTTAAATCGTTTGAAATACATTTAAAATGGTCCAAATCTACCATATTTTCCAGCATATAAGTCACAGTTTTTGCATAGATTTGTCAGTCCTGCGACTTATACTTCGAAGTGACATATACATTTTTTTCTTTCATATTCATAATGCAATTTTTGACTGACACTTTAAATTTTGAAGAACTGCAACAGCGAGTCCTCCCATGCGTGCTCGTTTCACTCAGCTGGTGCAGACAGAGGAACGCTGGAGAGCTAGCGGCTCCGGCTGCAAAGGATGGATGGATGAATGGAGCCGCCCAGACAAAATGAAGCTTTTCTGACCATTAAATAAACACACACTCTCTCTCTCTCTCTCTCTCTCTCTCTCTCTCTCTCTCT